ATCTATCTATCTATCTATCTATATCTATCTATCTATCTATCTATCTATCTATCTATCTATCTATCTATCTATCTATCTATCTATCTATCTATCTATCTATCTATCTATCTATCTATCTATCTATCTATCTATCTATCTATCTATCTATCTATCTATCTATCTGTCTGTCTGTCTGTCTGTCTGTCTGTCTGTCTGTCTGTCTGTCTGTCTGTCTGTCTGTCTGTCTGTCTGTCTGTCTGTCTGTCTGTCCGTCGAGAAAGCGAGTGCACCAGCTCTCGCGACAGCACCTCTCTGTTCGAAGTTGAGTTGTTGCTCGAGCGTCACCCAAAAGGCGCGATTTCATGCTCTTTCCGTCGACGAAAGACAGGCGCGATGTTTCTTCTCCGCTTTAGGAGCCATCAGGGGCACGCCTCGCATGCCGCGCGACATTATCGCGCGCGCCATTCGTGCGAGGAAGACGGTTGGCTGTTAGATCTCTGCTCCATCCGCGTTCGTCCCCAGTGCTCGCGCACTTTGATAGTGCGTAGTGGATAAGAGACGTGATGCGACGTTATTGGTTTGGACTTTATACAGGACATGGCGGCCCCTAATGAAAGCATTACTATCTCCACGTACCAATTTCCAGCCAAACTTCAGGACTGCACTTCCATTCCTGTCTAGCTCTTCATCAACTTTCTTCTCTGCATGGTGAACGCATCATCACAAGCTCTTTTGCCACGGTTCATTTCTACTGGCTGCAAAATTCGCTGGCATAGAAGTACACAAATTTTGGTACGTTCTTTCAATACTCGCTCCGCCTATCATCTCGACATCAACCCAGACCACTTTGCACACAAGCAATCTGTGGGTGATTACCGTTACTCCTTCTCTGCATCATCCTGACGCTGCCAGTACCGTTCTCCCCAGTCCCGCCCACAACCCCCCTCCCCCCTTAATACGACGTTCCTCGAGAGTAATATAAATGTCACGGGCTCTTGAGGTGACGCTGCATCAATCGGACAAACCGAAAATTCGGTACTGACTATGCCAATGAAACGGAATCTTATCGACGTGCCAGTCTGCGTTGCGCATGTGATTGCTCTGGTAGACACTGGAGTTCAACTTGCCCTTAGGACCCCTGATTTTCGCTAAAAGGTCAAGAAAGTTTTCGATTTCATGAAGATTCACTTTGTCCATGTTGCCAAAGCTGGACCAGTATTTGTCGTTGGAGTGTACTCCGCTCATGTAACCATTGCTCATCACGACACGCTTTACGCTTTGCTTATTTCGAATGTGCCGCCAAATTTGATGTCTCAACTGTTACGGGCCATCATGTTACCCTTCGAATTATACTTGGCTTTCCTCGCGATGAGAAATCTATTCTTCTACTCACATCAGCGCACCAGTTACCTCTGAGGCTGCACGCTGACGAAAGAGCGCTGCGCCATTTACCGAGCGCATGTACAAAGCTCCATATTTTAATGCACTTATAATGGCCTCTGTCAGCGTCAAAGCTCGCGAATGGGGAAAATGGTGGCATTGTTTGCCAAATTCACACACAGTATTGGCAGATCCTACTTCTTTCATTATTCCAGAAGATCGCATCGCAACAAATGCATATTCCCCATTAATTTTTCCACTTCCGGAATACTCAAAAAGCCATATCAGCTCGTTTCGGCACTACTTCAATCAGCCCAGTCACACTTGTTCGAAAATTTTGACGGTCATCGTCAAGTTTTTACCAACACATCTGTATACAATGACAGTCAAGGTGGCTTTGCAGCTTTTTTTTGTCATTCTATTAACATCCGACGGGTATTTTGTATACGAAATTCATTCTCCTGAATGACTGCGTAACTAACTGCCATTAATCTTGCGCTAAAGTATGTACTAAAACAATTGGAATAATCGAATGTCGCCGTACTTACAGATTTTCGTGCTGCCCTTAGCAGATTGCTGAGAAAAGACTTCACTGGCCCAATGACAAGAAGCACCGTTAAATCTGCCACAAAACTTATTACTCGTGGGGTTTCTCTGTAGGAAGGAGGAAGAAAGTTTAAGTGGAAATACAGGGAGGTTAGCCAGTTCTTAGACCGGCTGGCTACCCTGTGCTGGGGAAAGGGGTGAGGGGAATAAAAGTCTCTAAATTGCCAGTAGATATATTCGCATGTTGGTATTCCTGCATGGGAATGAAGAGTCCGATCACCTTTCTTACACTTTGGCCCTCAACTATTGCGACTGCCAAGAGATTTCATGCCGGTTTGACAACGTTCGTCTGCTGATCCACCGACATCTTCTGAAGTAGCATCCCGATCAGCGTGTCGCAATCGGATCGCTTCTTCCAGGCATTCGTGGTCGGGGATTGAGTCGTCGGGACAGAAGCCTGTTATACAAGCTAAAAGACGGTTCTGTGTTAGTGCACCAACAATTACACCGTCAAGGACGTGCTGACAGTCCAATATTTTCGTCGTGTGGCCAATGCAAGACACTAAAGCACATTCTTTTAGAGTGCCCTAAAATCGTTGTGCAGCGAGTACTACCTAAAAAGGACTATGGACTGATTGAACTTAGATGTATACGACGCTTGGTGATTGCTTGTTCCCTCGAGGATGTGCTTTTAGGCGTGACCAGCCTCACAGAGCCCTCTTAACTTTCTTAACGGAAACAAACTTGGCGTCACGTTTATAAACATTTTTATGTAGCTACTTATTTTTTTGTGCGTTTGTATTTTTCTCCTCTTTTTTTTTAATCTTTCTTGTTCTCTCTCCTTTTTTTATTTTCTTATCCGCTGTATGTCTCCCCTTCCTGAATGATCACAGAGGCTTAGTGCCCCTACAGGTGGCAGTTGTCAACCTGTTTCCACTATATTTTCCTCTGTCTTCGTATATTCTATGTACTCAAACCGATAAATAAATAAATAAATAAATAAATAAATAAATAAATAAATAAATAACTACATAAGTAAATGAACAAATAAATAGCCTCCCTTGAAAAAGGTCCCCAGGAAATAGGCCAAGGCTTCGATTTGCTGTCCTTGCATTATGCCCTTATGAACACTTCGGCCAGTACTCTCTGTCTCCTCTTTCCGTAGCAGAAGCTGCTGCAATGCAGCCGGATGTGCTCGCCATCAAACCCAATTGCTAACCTACTTCAAGATCTTATCAACAGCACCAGTTCCCTACGATACTATGTACTGACTCTTATAAGCGATGTTTTCATTAGCCACCGTATTACATTACCACACCGTTTTGTTTGTCGCAGGGTATTCCACGTCCCTTTCAGTTGGAAATTTTCGTTTGAAGCCACAAGTGTGGCCGCAAGGCATCTGTTTGGCACTACTCTCTATCACAGAAGACAATGCAGTGGGTGCTTTAACGGTGATGACTGCTTCCTATCCCTATTCCCAGCACCCATCCAATACTTGCCCCGACAGCGCTAATCCATCGAAGATCACTTTTAGCACCGCAGACAGCTTACCATCGGATCCACCGGGTTCTACTGTCCTGAATCAACGTTTTCGATTAGAGTATCCTCGATTAGGGTAAGCTTGCGATTCAACCGATCACATAAACACTGTTGATGCGCCTTTTATTCATAGGCGCCCATATCTCGGGTTGGCGGTTAAGCGTCAAACTATCCAAATTGAGATCGAAAAACTGCTCGCCAAGCACATCATTGAGATATTATGCAGTTCTTGGAAATCCTTGCCGTGCTATCCGGCAAGAAATGGAGTAAATGATGTTTCTGTGTCTATATTGACAGGTTAACATAATTAAAAAAAAATGAGATTACGCTTGAACTTCACCTTCAGAGCAGATAGTCATAGCGCAATCGGGACTCGTATTAATCGCCTTTCGAACTGCTAGCCTGTTTTGGTTCTCGGTTCATGACACAATTAGAGTGATGAAGACGGGCGCTGAAACACAGCCCTTGCCTTCGTCGGTCTGTCACTCCATTGTATTGGCGTGTGCTGCAGCCATATCTGTAATAGAATACACGTAGGCCGAATAACAGCTGGTCACCAAGGGTAATTTTCTGTATTTTCAGAGAAGACAAACGCACGAAGGGGAGAGAGAAAGTTGCGTTGGCCGATGAGAATAAAAAGTTCGCAGGTATAACGTGGCATCGGAAAGAACAAGACCGGCTGGATTAACTGATCATGGAAGAAGATTTTGCCTTACACTTGAGTAGTCAGGCTGTTGATGATTGTGACGGTGATGACAAGCTAGCCCATGCCGATACCTTCTTGAGCAAGAGATTGGTGCTGTAGCACGTCTCTGGAGTGAAAATGAAAAAATTTTGTCGGAGGAACGAGCAACATGTTTGAAATTGCAAACACCATCAGCTCGTGTCATTTCAACCTTCATTCGACTAGACGCTCTTCCAGAAAGGTGGAGGAGGGGCAGGAAATGGGGGTTCTGGCGCATAGACGGAAAGGAAATCGCCCGTAGTGAGAACAGGAAGACATCGCATAACGGGATGTTCCAGTAGAACAAAAAGTAAGTGTACGGAACTAGGTAATTGGTGAAAAGATTGGACGAAGAAGGGAAAGCCTGGAGGAGGGTTGAATTCGGGGCTGACACTTTCTTTTGGCCTCACCAGCCTGAACCGCGGAAAATGATTGGAACTTCCAGCTCGCGTTGACTGCGTTGCCCGACAACCGTCATCAGACCTTGTGCAAAGTACATAAAGCCAAATCATGGGACGGCTACGTGAATCGAGCACTGGAAGGGGAAATTTCTTGAAAGCGACACCGTCATGGTGAGAGCAATGCTGGAAAAACGGATTGATATTGAGCAATGTCGACGAAAACCTGCGGAGAAAAAGCCACATAGCGAATTTTTCTCGCTGAATGGGTGTACCTGCGTGTGGCCGTTTAATCGTTTTTGTGTGCCTTCGGAAAGCAACTTCCCGACAAGTACCACCCTTTGCAAAAAAAAAGAAAAGAAAACAATCATAATTAGAACTTCAAAAGCCCAATTTATTTTTACATTGTGTGGAAAAAAATTATGACGCAGTAGTTACTTCGATGCTTCTGTAACCTGTCGCCATATATTACCCCAGAGCTTCTTAACAAACCCACCATTCCCGATTCTCTCAATGTGCGAAAGCGTTTCTCTGAGTTGCTCCTTTGTGAACACCTCTCTCCATCTGCCCACTCTTGCATGGCGCACGAACCTGACAACTTTTGCACCATCTCTCGGTGTCGAAACATCTGTAAGAGGCAAAAGCTCCTTGTTCTGCACCATCACGTGTGCCATATCCACAGTGGGAATGGTCATCATCTCCTTCATGAAATCGGTGCTGCACTTTCTGACGATGTCACCAAGTAGCCCAGAGTCCTCCAAAACGGCCTTTCCGTGGTTCTCACCCAAAAAATGAGCAAGACGAACAGAAATTCCTGCTGTGTTTTCTATTATCTCTTCGTAGGTGATAAAGAATACGTTCGATTCATTCCTCAGTTTATAAGCAGCGCTCACGTGCTGAAAGTAGCTCCCGTAAGGCACGTATCCCTGGAGAAACATCGACAGGAATTGCTCGAAAGTCGCCCGCAATGGATAGAGTGGGGTCTGTCGAGACTGGTCGTAGAGCGAGGCGCACAAGTCCCACGGGTTTCTGGCGACGTAGACGTATTTTGAAGACCGGTTGATTTCGAGTAATCCGGGTCTGAAATGGGTAGTCAGGATTCTCGGGTGCGAATCGGTCATCATTTCCGAGATTTTTTCACCGTAGTCCTCCAAAAATGGGGACCGCTTGTGAAATTCATCGTGTGTCGCAGCACTCGAACCTCTGTAGACGATGAGCTGCATTATCTGCTGCATCCAGTGAGTACCAGATGTCGGGTAAGTCATCAGCACCACGTCGTTTTCACCTGGTTCAAACTGCAAGATTTCCCGGATAATCTGCGGCTCACGCAAGATGCAGTATCTCTCGCCGTCCACCATCTGTGTCCATTTGTCACTGGTGAACTCCATCGCCGAGGCCTCTCAATGTCTTGCACTTAATGATGGTTCCAGACAGAGTCACTTGCGTCAGTGTATGATCTGCATAATGAAAAGTAAAAGTAACTAGCACATCTATCACTATGATCAGAGAAAATATGTAACAGAGACATCGATTTCCTGTCAAAATGCGTCAAAGCAACGCCGCATGGCACGCGCCTGCGAGTATACGGCAGGACCAGCGCCTGGCGTGGAAGCGCTGGCGTGACGCGACGAAATTAACGCCGGGGAACACGCGCACCACGTTACGTCGAAATGTATTGGCGCTTTGACTGTGGCATGTAGTCACGTACTCACATGACATGCGTCTCATGATTATCATGTTTGCACCAGTCACATACCTTCGTCATCCAAGGGCGTCACAAGGTGTTATGGGGCCTGAGACGAAACCTCCACTGTGCCTCTCCCGAAGTTAAAACTTTGGCATATAAATCTTTGCTAAGACCCATAATCGAATATGCTAGAGTAATTTGGGATCCCTATACCCAAACTAACTGTTTGAAACTCCACAAAATACAGCGACTCAGTTCTAGGTTTATATTTATAAATACCGTAGTTTCCATTCACCTACCAAATTATGCAAACTTGCAGTGCTCTTACCTCTACAAAAATGCACCGAATATGAAAGGCTGAAATTACTTTTCCTAATGGTTCATAATCACGTTAAATCAAGCTACGACAGGTACTTTGAAATCAAAACGCAAGAAACGTCAAGAGACAGACACAGTATGTACATACCGCCCCCCAAAGTTCATAATGACTGTTTCAGGTACAGCTTCTTCACCAGGGTTGCCCCGCTGCGGTGGTCTAGTGGCTAAGGTACTCGGCTGCTGACCCGCAGGTCGCGGGTTCAAATCCCGGCAGCGGCGGCTGCATTTCAGATGGAGGCGGAAATGTCGAGGCCCATGTGCTCCGATTTGGGTGCACGTTAAAGAACCCCAGATGGTCAAAATTTCCGGAGCCCTCCACTACGGCGTCTCTGATAATCATATGGTGGTTTTGGGACGTTAAACCCCACAAATCAATCAATCATTCTTCACCAGGGCGATTCAGCAGTACAATTCATTATCAGATTCGGTTGTGAAAATCAAATCGCTTACTGACTTTTTTAGAACCAATAAAACATATAGTGCACTCTGATACCATGCGCTAAGATTGTGAATACGTGTTAATTACGTGCGTTGTAACTAGGCTGTGATATTTATTATGTGTTTTAGTATGCGCAAAGTATGATGTGTATTTAGGTAGTGATGCTCTCTTTTCTTATTTTTCACTAACTTCTCTGTTTAAACTATATGCTTAGCCATTATAATATATTTTTTGTATGTGCTCTGAAATGATGTGTTCCAGTAGTGAAGGTTTTTTTTCTTATGTTTCTCTTATGCACATTTCTGTTTTATATGAGTAAACTCCACTCCTGTAATAGCCCGCAAAGGGCTGACAGTATCAATAAGTATCAATAAATGAAATGAAATGAATGAAATGAATAATGCCGAATGCGGCACATGTGAAGCTAGCGAAACGGTCGCGTGCGCATCATCTGTGTGGCTTGTAGTCATGTTCTTACATGACATGCACGTCGTGATTATGATGATGGATGTGTCATTTATCTATGTCGTCCATTCACGTACTGTAATACCAAATTTGGTATATGTGACGCTAGTGTAACGGCCGCGAGTGCATCATGAGCGTGGCATGTAGTCATGCTGTTACATGAAACGCATCTCATGATTATTATGTTTGCAGTAGTCACATACCTTCGTCATTCATTCACGTACTGTAATACCAAATTTGGTATATGAGACGCTAGCAAAACGACCGCGAGCACATCATGAGCATGGCATGTAGTCATGTTGTTACATGACACACATGGCATGATTTTCATGTTAGGGCCTGTAGCTTGTGTTCGCCATGCACCTATGTCATACCATACCAATTTTGCAATATATCATGTGAATGAAACCACCGCAAGAGCAGCAAGATTATGACATGTAAATCATGACATTCATGACATACATGCCATGATTTTCATGGTATGACTAGTCAGGTATGTTCATCATACAGTCATGTTTTATCATACCAAGTATCGATAACATTATCGAAACGGCTAGGAGAGCTAAAAGTCGTAGGCGTATAGATAGATAGATAGATAGATAGATAGATAGATAGATAGATAGATAGATAGATAGATAGATAGATAGATAGATAGATAGATAGATAGATAGATAGATAGATAGATACGCTCAATGTCGTCGAGGTTCGCTAAGAAGTGCTTCGCATTTAAAATCCTGAATGGTATAGACCCGCAGAATAACGCTTTCAAGAAACCAATTGTTCATTTAACGGTCATGATTGCTCCACTCTCAGAAGAGCACTGAAAGAGGACAGTGGTTGATATGAAAGGCCCGTTTGTGAAGCCTGCAGAGTATGTGAGTGTGAGGCGGTGGATTGCGTGTCCGGCACGGCTTGTCGCAGACCAAGAAATCACAGGTTCGCCTCCCGTTCGGGTGACGCTATTTTCGCTACGTTATTTCTGGCACAGTAATATGTCACTGAAGTGCTGGTGGGCCTATATAGGCATAAAACACTTTCGTGCTTGAAAATCATCGAAGTCCTAAATTGAGAAACATTAAATTCGAGCTAAATATGAATATGTGGAAGTCAAGGATTATGATAAAGAGATTGGTAAAAAAGTGCTTCCATATTCACGAAGTGAATTATGATGAGTGGGTGAAGCTCCGGAGGTAAACCTGGTAAACCATGACTCCTCCGTACATTTTGCCCACTCGATTTTATTACAACGCTCCCCCTAGCATACGTCGCCGCACTAAATCGAACAATTGCCTTCCACCAACGACACGCGTCACATGTGACATCATTCCTATTTTATAACATCTCGCATCTTTCATCATCAACTACAAGTACCGCCGTCTAGTTTATAACATCTTGCATATTTTAATAATCAGCTACAAGTACCGCCATCTAGTGAACACTGCAAGAACTAAACGAGAAGTGGCTACATACAGGGGACGCACAGCCCACGCCTTGAGGAGCTTTGCCCCTAAAAATAGATCTTTTATGACTGGCATAGTAGCTTTGGAGTCTGTACACTTAAGGATATTCCTTCTAAACGGAGCTACTAAGAGGGATCATACTAATGAAAAAGTCATTCGCGAAAGAGTAAGCATGAGCTATGCTGTGTACAAGAAGCACTCCCAAAGGACGACACCCAATCTGCTGTTTTTAACGAGTTGAAAATTGTATAATAACCAACCAACACACGATAATGTAGCTTGGAAGATAACAGAAACTCAAAAAAAAGCAAGAGCCGCGCAGCGTGCAGCTGAATGCAACAATATATGCGTAATGATTGGAAATCTGAATTTGGCTAAATGGTTCTGGGAAAAAACAAATAGTTTATACTCTTGTACACACTATAAAAATGAAATGGGCTTATAGGCCGGCCTCGAAGCACATAAGAGAAATAACCGTTAGCGAGTTAGAACAATGAAATGGATGCCAGGCAGTGGGAGGTAGGGCGGAAGACAGCAGCGATCCATATACAGTGACGAGATTAGAAAGTTCGCTGGTATAAGATGGAATGGCTTCACACAGTAAACTGTTGGGAGGGGCCTTCAACTTGCAGTGGTCATGACATGGGTGTGTGATGAAGATCATACTGACAGAAGCACAAATAGTGAATATCTGCGAGTCGTTGCCCAAATCACTTCAGTTAAAGTCATCAAGCTTAATACTAATTAAAAATAAAACAATCAATATGATTTTTATGCATCAAAATAATTCATTTATACAAGTTACTCACCAACACGCTGCCTATGAACTCAAATAAAAATTAGCCTATTGCACTGTGCTATATAGAAGCCCTCACTGGAAGCTCGCTTCTCGAGGCCTTTCAGAATTTATGTGCTTTCTTCCGCGTATGAAATCCAGCCATGACGTCGAATATATTCTAAAACCTTTGTCGAGAAAGCGCGTGCTCCGGAAACAGGTGGTGTGTTTCCAGTAAATAATCGCAAAAAAACCTTGCTTCGCATAAATGATCCCATGACAACAGGTAGTGTGGACGTTGGTAACTTTTAGTTCTAATTACAGCTTTTTCTTTTTGGTCGTCATTTGCTTTTTTTATTTTTATTTGCATCTTTGCGTGGCTTCTTCGCATCCGCTTTTATTTATTTCTTTCTCTCTTTATGTCTATATGTATTTTCGCTTCTCTTTCTTTCTTTCGTTCGTCATTAATTTCTCGATTTCTTTCTTTATTTTGTTCTTGCCTTTCTTTCTTTTTCAATCTTCTATTTCTGGCTTTGTTTTGTTCTTCTTTCTAGCTCGTCCTGCCTGTGTATTTTGACATCTCTCTCTGTTTGATCGTTTCTCCTGTTTTTTTTCCTTATACTGTTCTTTCCTTCATTTCTATGTCGATTTCTTTCTATTTTATATCCTGCTTTCTCACTTATATTTTGATTCCTCCTCACTGCCACTTCTCTATCCCACTCCTTGGTATGATGCTGCATACAAGGATCTGTTATACTGCGCTATAGTGTCTGCATATTGTTTTAACAGTTAGACCTCCCAATGAATATTTTCACTTTGCTTCACGCTAACAATTATACCGAGATTCATTGACCATGCTGCTTCTCCTCCCACTTCTTCAAGCAAAAACGCGTGTGACTGCCAGGGCATGATGTCCTAGATCCAATGTTTAAAGGTGCTAATAGCATCACTGAGAAAAACAACATTTTAAATTACATTCTGGCACCTTGCTTGAACAGACCTGGCGTTGGTCAAAAGAAACTTTTATGTCGTTCTTCCATTTCATCTGTGTGATGTCCCAGAAACAAAAATAACTTTGTGTTTTAGCTGGAGAGGAGGAGGGAAGAACACCTATATTTAAGCTGGCAGTGCCAGATAGCCCTTATCCACACCGGGTTGATCGACATTCTAATCCTGGACGTCAT